TGGTTCTCTCTCATCGATGTTTCTAACTCTCTATCTCTCTCCCTTCCTCTCTGTAAGAAATCAATAAAATATATTTTAAAAAAAAGGTGAAAAAAAAAAAGCTAATTGCATAGTTTTAGCCAAGCTATTCATCATCCTCCGGTTATTCATTTCTGGGTAACTTAAAGGTCAGGACTATTCTTAATTTTGATCTGTCTGTTCTTTGTAGGCCGTTGCTCAGGTGTGTTGATCTGTTTGTTCTTTGTAGGCCATTGCTCAGATGTGTGAGCTCAGTTCCTAGAAACTTTGCACAGGCTGTCAAGCTGCTGAGGTGGCTAGGTAATTAAGCAGGCCTAAAAAATTTTTCTACTCTGTAACAACAATATCTGATTTCACTGACTTGCTGGCTCCACCACTGACTGACGAGGTCCAGACGGAAAGTATGGTGTCAGTCACCAGTGACTGACATGGCGCTTAACATGTTAACCATGATTGTTTTGCTCCAATTAAAGAAAGCACATTCTGATCTGACTGAGTGCTGTATGCCTTGAGATCTGGGAGCTAACCTCAAAATGCAGTTCATTCTTATCCTAGAACTGCAGCTGATGTTAGAATCTTATCTTATGACTAGAGGCCTGGTGCACCAAATTCATGCACTTGGGGGGCGGAGGGGGGGTCCTCAGCCCCAGCCTGTGCCCTCTTGCAGTCTAGGAGCCTTTGGGGGATGTCCGACTGATGTCTTAGGCCTACTCCCAGTGTGGGAGCCTGGCTTCTGGCTGAGCAGCGCTCCCCCTGTGGGAGCTCACTGACCACCAGGGGGCAGCTCCTGCATTGAGTATCTGCCCCCTGGTGGTCAGTGTGCATCATAGCAACCGGTTGTTCCACCTTTTGGTCAATTTGCATATTAGCCTTTTATTATATAGGATTAACTGTTAATCATCATGGAAAGATTAACAATCTTGTTGCTAAAACAATGGGGTCCAGGAGGTACCAGCCCTTTGCATCCTTCAGCCCACATTACCTGTAATCTGTAACCATTATACCCATTATTATTCCTTTTGCCTGTTCCCCCATGCAATATTTGTCTTTCTAATATAAGCAGCTAGGTTATGGGGAGGAGGGGGAGCAGAGCAGATTTTCATGGATGACCTGCTGTTCTCCCATACTGCCAGCATTATTGGAATATGTGCTCATACATGATTCAACATTGTCTCTGCTTAATTGGCTTAAGTATTGACAGGCAGCCTGGACCCAATTGTTGTCTGGTTTCAGTATGAGTACTTAATATATTTTGGAAGTTAACCCCTTATCAGAAGTATCATTGGCAAATATGATCTCCCATACATTGGGATCCCTTTTCAATTTGATGCTGGTTTATTTTGCTGTGCAGAGCTTTTTATATTTATGTAGTCCCATTTTTTTCCTTTGTTTCTCTTGTCCTAGGTGATGTATCAGTGAAAATTCTGCTATGTGAGATGTCTGATATTTTGCTGCCTATGTTTTCTTCTAGGATTTTTATGGTTTCATGACTTACATTTAAGTATTTTATCCATTTTGAGTCTATTCTTGTATATGGTGTAAGTTCGTGGTCTAGTTCCATTTTTCTTTTTTTGCATGTACCTGTCCAATTATCCCAACACTATTTATTGAAGACAGCTCCACAATGGAATACTATGCAGCTGTAAAAAAGAAGAATCTCTTACCCCTTGAAATAGAATGGAGGGATCTGGAGAGTATTATGCTAAGTGAAATCAGCCAGTCAGAGAAAGACAAATATCACATGATCTTATTTATATGTGGAATCAAATAAATAAAATAAACTGATGAACAAAAAAGATACAGAAACATTGAAACATGCAACAGATTGATGTATTTCAGAGGAAGGGTGGGGCAAGAAGAGATTAACCAATGAATTTATATGCATATATGCATAGCCCATGGACAGACAATAGTGTGGGGAAGGCTTGGTAATTGTTTTATTTTCTGTTTGTCATCTAATTCTGCAACCTATTTTCCATTGTTTATTAACTACCTTAGAAAATTATGATGCCTTGCTGCTTTCACAACATTGTAAAGGTGTGAGCTACACCAAAGTCATAGCTATTTGATCTTTGACCAATTGACAAGCCCCAGTTAGAATAATTAGGCTTGTTGGGTAGATTTTATTCAACTAAGTAAGAACCTTCAATTATGTCCACCATGGAAGTTATTGAATATCCAACTTGGTAACATTTCTGCTTATTCTTTAAAGATCCACTTATAAATAAAATTAAGTCATCATTATTAAAGAGTTTTCTGTAAACCAATCCTAATAATAAGAAGGTGTCCCTAAGCAAAATGCAATTGTGGATGTCTTTATCCTGCAAAGGAAGTAGCAAAGTTGCTGGGTTAAGACAAGTTTAAGTGAAATTAGGTGCAGAAGGCAAGAGCCAGTCACTGACAAAGAGGGTTGAACATGATAAGAATTCAGTGGAGATTTAATAGAATGAGGAACATAAAGGAGAGTCCATAACTATCTTCTAAAAGTTAGAGAGTCTAGTTGCTGAATATAATAGTCTATAGGCCTATGTTGATCTATATTTTTTAGTTAAAATTTCTGTAATTAAGGTATCCCAGAGTGGAAGCTTTAGGTAATTTTTTTTAGAGATTCTATAGATTGTTTCCCTTCTGGTTCCACTGAATTGGATTGGGTAAATCTGATTTTAATAAAACACAGAGGCTGGATCATTAATGAAAAACTGGAACACAATTGTGACAATATTCAGTAAAACCCAGGAATCCTCTAAGTTGCTTTCTTGTTTTTTTGGAACAAGAAAAGATAAGTTACTTCTGAGTCTCTTGGGGTTTAGTAGCTTATCTCTAGATATCAGATAACCAAAGTATTTTACCTGAGGTAAACAGAATCAGAGCTTGTTCTTAGATATACATGTCCTTTGGTAGCTAGCTGTTATAATAGGTAGATTATATCTTTTGGGGAGTCTAGTAATTTTCTAGAGTATAAAACTAAATCATCCACATATTGTATTAGAGTGGAATAACTAGGAAATTTAAAATTATTTAAATCAGCTTTTTGTCCAACTGGCATAGTTCAGTGATTGAGCATTGACCTATGAACCAGGAGGTCACGGTTCAATTCCCAGTCAGGGCATGTGCCCAGATTGTGGACTTAATCCCCAGTGGGAGACATGCAGGAGGCAGCCAATCAATTATTCTTTCTCATCATTGATGTTTCTATCTTTCTCTCCCTCTTCCTTCTTCTCTAAAATCAATAAAAATATTTAAAAAAAATAAAAATAAAAATAAATAAATCAGCTTTTAGTACCTAAGAGAATAGGTGAGACTTTTTGTATATCCTGGAGGCATTACTGTCCAAGTAAATTTGTAATCTTCCCAGCAGAAACCAAGGATATTAACTGTTTTTCTACTGGAATGCTGAAAAGGCACTACATAAATTTATTACTGAAAAATATTGGCAGTCCACATGAATGGCTGGTAATAAAGTATGTGGTTTTGTAACCACGGGATGTCTGGGAATAGTTAGCTTATTTATAGCTCTGAGGTTATGTACAAATCTCAATTTTTTTTCTTTTTTTTTTCCTGGAAAGATAGGAGAATTACAGGGGCCTGTACATTAAATTAGAACTGCCCCCCCTTATGGTAATTTTAATTTCTTCTAAATTATTAATAAGGAGAAGAGGAGACACTTTCCCATAGTCCTCAGAACAACCTTATGCTTGTTTCTGTTTTTTGTTGTTGTTGTTGTTTGTTTGTTTTTCTTTCTAAATCCCATGTCAGTTTTGTATAATCCTTAAAGTGGACAGACTTCTCTACAGGAGTTTTTTTGCAAATCTTATTTAGTAATTGTTGCTTTTGCTCCCAGAAATCAGAAGGTATATTAATTGAAATAGGTTAGAATAGCCAGGATTACATGTTCTAACAGTTAAGTTTCTTTGTGAATCCATCAGGGTACTGGAGAAAATCAGGAATAATTGCTGGTTCCTCTGTGGCTGAGACCAGCTTTGTTTCAAAGGGAGATATTAGAATTTCTATTCTCATTTTTCCTTAAGTCAGTAAGGAGTAGTAATGGAAAAGATTGAATGTGAAGAAAGAATGGAGAGGAAGGAAGGGAAAATCTAGGCAGGAAAACTCAGAGAGCAAAGGATATAGTGGAGGAGTTATAGAAGAGGGAAGGATGTGGTGTAGGCATTTGTTAACATCAGACGAGTTCAGAGACAGACTTTAAAATTTTTATTAATTTATTTTTTGAAAAAAAATTTATCTGTGTTTCTCCTAGAAGTTTCTAATTTCCAAATTAAGATATGCTTCCCAAATTCACTCATTCAGTTGAATTTTTTAGCCAAAATTTTTAAAATTTTGCATGCAAAAAAATTAATTTAGGCATCCAAAGACAATGGCATTTTGCCATTTTATGTTGATATTTTCTAGTTAAATCTTCTCATTTCTATAAAGTACTTCCTAGTAAAAGGCTTTCTATCAGGAATATAAATGAGGGCTGAAGTCTGGGAATTTTTGGACTTAAAGGCACAATTTCCCATGTTAATTTTCATTGTTTTTTGTTCTTATTGTTGTTTTTTATATCTGCAGAGTCTGAATAAATTTTCTATGCATTATATAGTGGGTCAAAGTGTGCTGCTTATGGGTTGATCTCCATGAGGCTTTCACTCCTGAGTCACATTCAATTCTCTTATGTGCCTCAGTTTCTCTCCCCTCCTGTCTAATACAGCCATGACTCATAGCACTAGGTGATCAGCCTTTACATGCACATCCCAGGATGAACCAATTGTTTAATCACACTAGCGTTGGAATTTTACATAGTTATGGATGATCTCTGATACCTCAAAAAAGATTCTTGAAAAAATGGCGGAGGTATAGACGGACGTGTCCCGTGCCTTGTCCCGGAGCTGTTAGGGTGAGCAGCTGAAGTGGGTAACATACAGCCTAAATAAGCAGAGGATATTCAGCTGAGAGAAAGTTGGAGACTGTGGCTGAAATCTCTCCCGGATCGCCGGCTCAGCCGCGGAGACCGCGCCATCTTGAGTGGCTTTTTTTTGGAAACGTATACTGTACACCCAAAGACCCGGCATCAAGAGATCGGCTGCTAACCCGGAGACACCAGATCTGGGACAACGCGACTACATGGAGTCCTGCTTCTCACAGAAAGTGCCTGGTATGTTGTGCCTTGTTGTGTTGTATTTTGTGCCTTTAAATCAACGCAGGAGAACCAAGCAACAGCAGCCTCCTGATCACCACACCCTCTGTCTGAGGAATAGCAGCTGAACGTGAAGCCTATCAACGGAGGAGCCACTGCTACCACAACCGCCCAAGGAGCAACCACAGCCCGAGGAGCCACTGCCACCCAGGGAGCAGCCACTGAACGACTCAACAACTAGATATGTCAGAGAGATCAAACATGGGTAGATGAAGAAACCCCCAAAGGAAAGAGAAGGAGGACTCGCCAGAAAAGCAGCTAAGTGAGACAGAGGCATGCAACATGACAGAAAAAGAATTCAGAATAAGGGTCCTAGCGTGCATAAACCGGATGGAGGAAAAAATCAACTACTTATGCAAGAAGCAAGAAGAAACAGATGAAAAAATCAATAACTTATGCAAGACCCAAGAAGAAATGAAGAGCGATATAGCTGCAATAAAAAACACCATTGAAAGCATCAACAGTAGACTAGGAGAAGCGGAGGACCGAATTAGTGAATTAGAAGACAAGGAAGCAAAACACACCCAAACTGTACTGCAATTGGAGAAAAAAATTAAAAGACAGGAGGAGAGCCTAAGGGAGCTTTGGGACAACATGAAACGAAACAACATACGAATAATAGGGGTGCCAGAACAACAGAAAGATGAACATGGATTAGAAAACCTATTCGAAGAAATAATATCAGAAAACTTCCCTGAGGTGGGGAAGAAAAAAGTCACACAAGCCCAGAGAGTCCCAAACAAGGTGAATCCGAAAAGACCCACACCAAGACACATCATAATTACCATGGCAAATGTTCAGGACAAAGAGAGAATCTTACAGGCTGCAAGAGAGAGACGGAAAGTTACATACAAGGGATCTCCCATTAGATTATCAAATGATTTCTCAACAGAAACACATCAGGCCAGAAAAGAATGGACGGAAATTTACAAAGTGATGCAAAGCAAAGGACTGAATCCCAGAATACTCTATCCAGCC